AAGAACTTAACACACTTTAGCCTTTTCATCCTTACACATCCTTACAGCCAGCCTGCAAGACAGTACACAAAAGAGTTTTTCTTCCTGGGACTCACAAGCCTGTGGCCCATTCCCACTCAGGTAGGGCTGACTTGTGTGCCCAAGAGGACATTATAGAAATGATGGAGTGTGACTTCTTCCTTTCTCTGGATCAATTGCCCTGAGGGAGCCAGTTGCCATGTCCCGAGGACACTAAAGCAGAGTGAGCCTTATGGTAAAAAACTGAGTCCTCCTGCCAACAGCCAGCATGAACTTCTCTCCAGCCCCAGGTAAGCCTGCAGCCTGGCCAACATCTTGACTGCAGCCTCACGAGGAACTCAGAGTGAGGACCACCCATCTAAGCCGCTCCCAAATTCTGACCCCCAAATACTGTGAGAGAGGATTTGTTTCTTATGGTTTTAAATTGTTATGTTTCAGGGTCATTTGTTATGTAGCAATAGGTAACATACACAATTAGGTAACATTCCCATTCCCATTTTATTGATGAGGAAATTAAGGCACAGAGAGTCTTAAGGTAGCAAGTGATTTAAACTGCAGTGGTTTGGATCTATACAAAGTTCATGTCTGAATTAGAATCTCCCATTTATAGGAGATAAATGCTCTCTCCTCTATCTCTGCCTACTTAGAGACACAGGAGAGAGCAGAGACAGTGACACAAATACAGAGAGACTGTGACAAGGAGAAATGGGCAACTGGCTCACAGCATAGTGTGACGGACTGGAGCCACGCATCTGTAAAGCGAAGGAAGGGGACAGCGGGGAGCTCCGTGCCCTTGCAGTTTAGCTGTGGTTGGCTTCAGGCCTCTGGTCTCCAATCCTAGCTGAGGTACCCCCAGCCTTGGGAGTCTGGGAGTATCTGGTGGTAAGAGTCTGATACCCCTGAACAGATCCCACCGTGAGGCTTTTGTATCCCTCTGCAGTCACTAATTGTCCCAGTCTATATCTGCCCCACACCAGAATCCTCAGTGGCAGGGATGGAGTTTTGTCCTCCATATCCCTCCCCTGGCACAGTGCCAGCCAAAGTAAGCCAGGCAGGGTGCAAGCAGAAGGCCCTTTGGCCCTGACCCAGAGAGAATTCATCTGGTCACACCTTCCTTTAACAAGTCATCAGCAGTGACACAGCAAGGACCAAGACAACCTGGTTTCTGACTTGGGACTCTCTTCATTGAGTGGACGATCCAACAATGTAGCCCAGAGAGATTGGGACACACTGTGCTTGGGAGCCCAGGGGAGCAGGGCGGATCTTTGTGGAGAGGCTAGAAGGCTTCCCACAGGAGGAGGAGGCATGTGAGCAGAGGCCAGAAGATGAAAAGAGGTCACTGTTCCTCAGTGCTAGTTCTAGGCAGAGGGTCCAGCCTGGGAAGGGTCTGAGAGGAAAGAGTAAGTTCTTAGAGGGAAGAGTGAAGAATAAGCGTGCAGAGTGGGCTTCAGGGCCTCTAGTGGCCCTGGAGACCAGACATGGAGGCAGCAGGGGACAGGGTGTCATGCTGACAGCAGGTAGAAGGTCACCTATGTGTCTATGGGAAACACACTGCACTGGGGATTGGGTTTAGGAGTTTTCTTTGGAAATACAGGGGTAGGCATGTCCCACATGCTTGAGTCATCCCATGACTCAAGAGAGAGGACAGATGAGGACAAGAAGTCACCTGGGTAGCAGAAACTACACCCAAATCTCAGTGTTTATTTGGCATCTTATGCATTCCAAGGGCTGGGTTTTCTCTGTTTGCCCCTCAAAGGAATTAACAAACTCTGGTGCCTGAAAAATTCCCAGTTCCACCATCTGGGTTTGAATACTGACCGTGCCATTTATTGTCTGTGTGACCTCTCCATTTAGTTTACCCATTTGTGAAATGGAGATGCTGTAGGGATTAAACGAGCAAAAGATGAAGCAGTTAGAATGGTGTCTGACCCCCAGAAGTATACAATAAACATTAGCAATTATTACTGTTTGGTGTGGTCTTCTTTTAACATTTTCAGATATTTAAACATAATTTATCATGTGCTTTTCTTGTACCAGGTCTTGTGTTTATTCTCTGAAAACATTGTCATCCAAGGGGACAGAAACCTCCAATAAAAGCAGAAATCAATGTGTCCCATGCTAGGGACCCAGAGATGCAGAAGAGCTAGCTGGTCCCCATCCTCAGGCTGATAAGGTGACAGGTGCATAAACAGATGGTGGCAATACAGGGTGATCCAGGCTTTGACAAACAGACAGTCCAGGGGTTGTAGGAACTCAGGAAAGTGGACCAAACTGGATAGGGGGCCTAGAGAAGTTGAGAGAACTTCTGTTGAGGGAGATGTGGAGAGACAAAGAGTAGCCCATTCTGGTAACTTGACATATGGGTAGACAGTATTAGCAAAGATCCCCTTGGGGAGGTGGGGCAATGCCTGGATTTAATTTGCATTCTTTATATGTTGGGAAGCCATCAAGGGTTTCTGAACAGGGAATTATGTTTGAATAATAGTAATCATAACTAATATTTATTATGTACCTCCTGTATCCTGTATGTTGTACACACATAATCTCATCTAATATAACCCTCATGGCAGCCCTAAGTGGTTAAGTACTGTCACTGCTCCCATTTTTCAGATGCAGAAAATTAGCTACAGAGGTTGAATTGCCCAAGTTCACATAGATAAGGAGGAATCCAGCCACAGTTTGACCCAATACACCCAATAGCTGTGCTTTTTTATTTTTATTTTTATTTTTTCCCCTTCCTTACCCCCAATCCTCTTTTTTTTCTCTCTCTCTGGTGCTGGAATTAATCTCAGGATCTTGTACATACTAGGCAAATGCTCTAACACTAAGCCACACTCCCAGACCATGGTGAATGCTCTTAATCTTTCTACCTATTGCCTCTGAACTTCACCCCATACAAAAATCTTAAAGCTGGAATGAATCTCAGAGACTCCCCATCTCACCGACGAGAAATTGAGACTCAGATGGGAATGACTTTTCTATGAACACAGAGTAGAGGAGGAGAGGCAGAGTTAGATTAGTCTGGGTAGCGGATGGGGCTTCTGTCCTGGGCTTCACAGCCTAGGCATTTTTGCTTAGCACAAAATCCAAACTCCTTGCTCTGGCCTGCAAAGCCCTCCTGCCATCAGGGCTTTGTGGACTCCCTGAAGCTTTTCTGATGCACACACCCCTCCCTTTCGCCAGGCCCCAGCCCATCTAGAGGCTTCTACATTGCTATTCCCTCTGCCAGGAATACCTTTCTCTCTGATCTTCATGTCATCAGTTTCTTTACCATTCATTGAAATGTCACCTCCTCTAAAAGTTACCCTCTACTCTTATATCACCCTGGCTTTTTTTCCCCATAGCAATTAGAGTAATCTAAAATAATCTTTTTTTGCTTCCTTGCTTTTGGGTTTTTCTCACCCAAGGGAAAAACGGAAGGAGGGCAGAGAGGGGCCTTATATATTTTTACATTGCATCTTTGAACCCTGAACAGAATCTGATACCTAGTAGGTGCTCTACAAGTTTTTGTTGGGAGTGCTTAAGTCCACATTTCATTGTCTGTTCATGGTCTGCTCCCGATCAGCCAGGGACCTCCCTGGGGCTGGCACCATGTCAGATTCACCTTGGCATCCCCAGGCCTAGCACATGGCCAGAATATGCTTAAATGATTGAGGGATAGAAGGGACAATGGTAGGAGCACCCTCAGGTCTCCTAAGGCCTAAGCCCTTTCCTGGTAGGGTGGCTACAGCCATTGCCACTGGGCAACCCTTTGGGCTCAGGAAGCTGCTGAGATAGGGTGATTTCAGGTCTATGGCTTAGAGCTCCCACCCTTCTGCTGGGAAAGAAGGACAAGAAGGAAGAGGGAGTGGACCTTACACTGGGCCTTGGCACCTGCAAGCTGATCCCATTTAGCGGTCAATGCCCTCAAATGTCATTTTCTAAAGAAGATTGTGTGGTTGGGACAGGCTTATCAGCAGGCGGCTAAAACCTAGTTCGAGTTCTGTTCTCCACATGCCATACCCTGGAGTCGCTGAGGTGGAGCTACAATGCCTCAAGAGAAGGCATCCTCTCCTTTGCACAGAGGCCAGTGAGGTGGACAGAAGTCCTATATGTGCGGCCCCTAGCGGCAGAGATGACGGTGTCCCTATAGTGGTCTCCTTTATCAAACCAAGATTTACCTGAGCGCCCCCCGCCCCCCAATTGTCTGCCTGTTTGCTTGGGCGGGTGAAGAATACTGAATGTGGATGAATGAACAGTCGATGAGCCAGGCCCAAGCCGCCTGCTTCACATCCCTGCCTGTGATCGCATAAGCATGACGCAGACGGACATAGGCACAGGGAGCAGCTATGTATCTGGAGCTGATGACAGGTGTAGAGGTCATGGCTCATACCCTAGGCTTCTCCCTCATCGGCAATACCTTGATGTCCCAGCTCCTAGTCCCCCAATCTCACCCCCACGCGCACACTGCACAGGCTTGCGCGTTCTGGAACATCATTTTCTCTCCCATCCTGGCTCTCCTGGGCATCCTTCTGCCTCAGATCCACCACCTCCTCCTGGAAGCCCATGTTGCTTCCCTGGGACCTGCTACTTTCAGGAGCAGGGGCCTCGCCTGGCTCATCCCTGCGTCTGCAGACCCCAGCACTCGATGGGCCCACAGCGAGGTCGTGGGGAGTCTGTTAAGGCAGGAGTGGACCAAGGACAAGGAGGGAGAAGAGAGGAGGCGGCAGCGGGAGGAGCGTGGGGCGGAGGCGGCAGAGGGAGGGAGCGCGCGCGCCGGCGGCGGCCGCCCAGAGCCGGGGCCGCGCGCCCAGCCTGAGCCCGCCCCGCTGCCGAGCGTCACCGAACCTGCTTGAAATGCAGCCGAGGAGCCGGGGCGGGCGGCAGCGGCGGCGGCGGCGGCGGCGGGGGCAGCGGCAGCCCCGGCGCCGCGGCAAGGACTCGGCGGTCTGAAGCGCGGCGGCGGCAGCGGCGGCGGCAGCGGCATGGGGGGCGCGGGGCGCAGCGGCCGGAGCCCCGGGCCCACCATGGACCGCTTGGAGCGGGCCGCGCTCCGGCCGCTGGCGCTGCTGCTGCTGCTGCTGCTGCAGCTTCAGCATCTCGCGGCCGCGGCGGATCAGCTGCACCGCGGCCAAGGTGCGTGCGGCGGGTCCCAGTCGGTGCTCTGCGCCGCCCCAGCAGCCAACAAAGCGCGGCCCTACGGCCTGGGGGGACCCAGTTATCCCTGAATTTGCACTCGAACCCGCCTGCTTTCTGGGCACCGGCTCTGGGTTGAAAGCTCTGCTTTCCAGGCACCGGCTCTTAGGGGATGGGCGCAGCGGGGGCCTGACCGGCCATGAACTTTACTGGGGCTGCTCATTCATGGTTTCGGGTGAGCTGTGCCATTCTCGCGCTTGGGGTTTATTTAACGTGTGCGCTCAACCGCGGCGGTGAGCGGAACCGAGCTGCTTCCCTGCCTGACAATGCGTTTACCGGGACCCCTGCGCGCGGTAGAGTGTGGCTGTTTGCAAGGGGAATGAGCCGATTAGCCCAGTGCGTGTGTCGAGCGTGAGCTGTGTCTCCTTGTGGGCTGTGTCTGCGTGAATCTTGACTATGGGCCGTGTGTGCGGCTGAATGTGTCTGAATGGAGGGTGTACCCAAGTCGTGTGACGCCGACTGTTAAGTATGTGCCTGGTCTCACCGTACCACCAAGCGGTCGGCCATCCGGGGAACTCATAGCATCCAGCCCTCCATCTGCATCCAGGGTGCCCTAAGCCTCTGGGGTCTCCAGCATCACCCCCTTTCCTTCTCCCGGGCTCAAGTCGCTAACCCAAGTCTCCGTTCCTCCTACCCCCTAGGGCCGATTAAGGAGTGCCAAGAGGACCAGTTCCGGTGTCGGAACGAGCGCTGCATCCCCTCGGTATGGAGATGCGACGAGGACGACGACTGCTCGGACAACAGCGACGAGGATGACTGCCGTGAGTGACCAGCCGGGGCGCTCAGACCCAGACTGGGAGGAAGCGGTGGGGGGCGCCATGCTCAGTGTGCACGTGGCTCCAGGCGCCGCGGGGCCACCTGCTTCAGCCACGCAGCCTCCCTCCAGGAGGGGTGGCCCTAAGCGACCCGGCGGGAGCTGGGCGGTTGGCGTGTCTTGGCCCGGCCTGGGGCGGAGCCCAAGTCGGTTTGCCCCAAGCCCGCCACGCCTGGGCCGGAACTGTGGGCGGGGACGCGGCAGCCCCTGCGTGCTTCTACGTTCCAGCTTTCGGGCCTTCTGGGTCTCCCACCTGAGCTCCACCCTGCACGCGAGTGTTTCAGAGTTATAAGTGGCCCTGGCCGCCCCGCTTTCCTTTTCCTGCTCATTTTTTTTTTTTGTGAATGAATGGGCTCCCCGGGGCCCCTGATTGGTTGGGCAAGGACCACCCCATAGGCCTCCGTGGCCCGAGTCACCAATCCTGGAGCCGGCGGGTGTGTAATATTCCGGTGCCCTGGGCTCAGGAACCCTGCCCTGGCCCCGCCCCCGACCGCACACCCGCGCGCATCCTCTGGGTAGTGGTGCCGGCTGGAAGTTAGCGCCCGCTGCTTTTCTGTCGAGTCACCGTGAAGACCTTTGAGAGCCATGCTTAGTACCCGACCGCGCTCTTCTGCCAGCCGGGTCTGGGTGTGAGTCATGGGCACCAGGAAGGAGGCGACTAGAAGGAAGGGTTTGTTTCCTGGAAGGGGACTGAGGCCCCGACTGTCTTTACTGAGCGTGGTGTTAGCACACTCTGTGTGCGACTGATTTTGAAGTTCCTTGTCTAGGGGCGCAGGGTTTCGGTTATCAGTGGGACCGGAAGCTAGTTAGCAGGCAGTTGCCTTGGTAGAAGGAATATAGTTCCAGGAACAGAAAAACTGGACTTTTTATTATTACTGAGGCCTCGGTGAGCCAGGCGTTGGGTACTCTGGAGAACATGCCAGTCCGGGAACACAGGGTTTGAGGGAAGAGGCAGCAGGTGGGCAGACCCTCAGCTCTGCACAGTGCGCAAGACAGAGAGGGAGACACTTGGACAGGTAAACTATCTGTTGGGTCTTTGAGATTTTTGACTGTTTGCTTGTCAAACGTGACTGTTCACTCTCAGACCTAACCCGGAGTGGGCTTTGTGACTTGTGCACATCATTTCTGTCTGCCTCAGTTTCCCCACCTGACCACTTGGGCTAATAATTCCTGCCCTGGCAACCTCATGGGACTGTTTTGAGGACTAATTCCAGAAATGTCATTGGAAATAACAAGACTCACACGTGCTGGTCTCTATGCTGAGCATGGAGGTTAAGTGCTTATAGGGGTTAAGTTACTTGTTCACAGCTACTGAATTGCTAAGTAGGATCCTGAATTGAAACATCTGCCTCCAGACTACTTAGCCTAATGGTGACTTGACAGTCCCTGGTGCTACTGAAGTTGTGAAAATGGCCCTGGTCAGGTAAAATATTAGAGTGAATCTCTGGCCTGGGAGTTGTTCTTCAGGTGCCCCTGGAGGGGGAGTGCTGTGGAGAGTCAGGGAAATAGAAACTGCACTTCTGCACTGGTTTTACTGTACCTTTTTGGCTCCTTAGAATGACAGTCTTGTGAAGATGGGTGTGAAGAGCAGAAGTTTCTCCTGTCTTGCTTCATAGATAAGAATACTGACTCAGAGAGGTTGAATGGTTTGCCCAAGGCCACACAGTTCAGAATGACAGAACTTGATCAGAATCTCTGTCAACTTCCTAGCTCAGGGGGTCTGTCTGCTACAGAGGGAAGTGTGGTATGGAAGAATCTAGGAGCTAGAAAGCTGTACTTTAAATGTTGGGCCTGTCGCTTTTCAGCTCTGTGTGAGGCTTTGGGTAAGATGGAAAGGAGAAGTAGCTTATGGCTGGGTGACCCCAGGTGGGACTAGGAGTGCTCTGGTGACCAGTCTGGGCTCCTCCTTTGGCTCTGAGATGGTTGGGGTAGAGTCACAGTCAGGGGTAGAGGGAGTGGTGGCTTTGTTCATAGCACTAAGGATCAGTTTCACACTGCTTGACTTTCCTGAGTTTGTTTCCTCGTCTGCCAAACAGTGTAGCTGTTCCTCCATGCTGAGGTTTATACAAGGAAGTCTTCTCACAGGGCTGGCAAGAGAAGGAAATGGAAAAGTGTTCCTACCTCTGAGATCTTTAGAAACCCTTTCTGCCCCGTCTGAGGCACCTGCCCAGGCTGAATCAAACTGTTCTCCTTGTTGGCGCCTCCTGAAGCATCTCCTCCTTACACCTGGCCCCCTCCCTTGGCACTGACCTGCAAGGGGGGCCCAGCCACCCTGCCTCTGTACCTCTCTGGACTGCAGAATGGGGGTTGGAATTTGTAAATAATGTTCAAGTGAGGCAAAATGACCTCAAGCTCCCAAAGGAGCCAAAGTGCAGCCCCTGAATACCAAGAGGCTGATGGAGGCTGGCAGGAGGGAAATTTTGTATTAAGGAGGCCAAGAAAGGCTTCCTGGAGGAGATAGCTTGAAAGATGGTGGCTAAGACCTTCTCTCAGGGCTTACATGTTTTAAAATAGGTGGCACAGAGCCCATGTTAGAGAGGACACTGAGGTGCAGAGAGGTGATGTGACCCCCCCTACATCCCCCAGTCATCTAGCTCCTCAGGGTTGGAGCTTGAACTCACAGTGAGGCCTTCCAAGTCTGATCCTGATCCACAAGGAGTGGGCTTGGCCCTTTGGAGACAGATAGAGCTGGTGGGATGGGGAAGGGAAGAGCTCATGGGGATTTAGTTTCCAACTCAGAGGACCTTCAAAGTGAAAAAAGAGGCCGGAAACTGCAGGGCCAGTCCCAAGGAAACCCAGGGGAAGTTAGATGGGATTCCTGGCTGTGGATGTGGGTCACGTAGGCCAACTGACCCCTGGGTCTCAGCATCCTGTTGCTCCTGGTATCTGGGGGTAGAAGTGGGGATTCTGGTCCCTAGCCAGGCCTTTACTCCACAACAAGTCTGGAAGAGTCTCCAGGGCCACTCAACCCATTCACACTTACCAAGCTCTTGCTGTGGGCTAGGCATGGTCAGGCATCTCACCCATATCCCCTTGAGCTCCTCTGTTCTGTGAAAGGGGCAGCCCTACGAAGTACCTGAATTATTCAGTTTATAAAGGCACAAAAGGGGTTAAATAACTGGTCCAATGGATATAATTTTTAAGTGAAATTTCTGAGATGTGAACACAGCACGTAACTATGGAACCTGTGCTTCCATGAGTACTAGCTGGTGACCTCTGGTGACCTAGCTTCGGTTTCTAATCCCGGGATGACAGCTTAAGGCTCCTTCCCCTCAACTCCCAGCTCTGGGAAGAATCAGTGCTTCTTTGTGGATAGATTGGTGGACAGGTGGATCGATTTCATGCTCATATACTTCTACCTTGTTCAGGTGTCTTTCAGCTCTCTTGCTCCCCCAACTCTTGCTACCCATCCCATATTTAATACAGGGTGGCTGCAGCCAGGTCTCCCATAGTGGAGGGCCCATTAGGTGGGCAGACCAGGTTGCAGGAGTCCCATGGCCCGCTGGGCAGCAGCCTTGTGAGTAGGTATAGCCCAGCCACAGCTCCTGGCTGGTGCTGGTGCCCAGCTCTGGCCTTCAGGTGCTACCTAGACACCAGGCCCAACTTCATCTCCTTTTTGGGATGCTGCTGCTTTTTTCTGAACCCCATCTGTCTAGATAACTCTATCATTCAGAGTCCTCCTGGAGCTCCCAAGTACCCCAAGAATGAAGTCGGTTTGGGCGTCTCTGTATTTGGCTCCCTGCCCAGCCCTGTGCCCACTCACCTTTCTGCCTCTTCCTATAGCCTGGCCACCAGACTGTAGCTCTGTCGCTCTCGTCTTCCTTCGGCTTCTCACCTCTAGGATTTTGCATGTGCTGTGGTGGGTTTTTGTTCTTGTCTGTTTCTTTAACAGGGGGTTGAACCCAGTGATGCTTTACCAGTGAGCCAAATTCCCAGCCCCCCCCCCCCACACACACACACTTTTTTAATTTATGTTTTTATTTTAAGATAGGGTCTCATTAAGTTACTTAGGGCCTCACTCAATTGCTGCTGAGCCACTGCCTCTATTTTATTTATTTTGAGACAGGATCTTACTGAGTTGCTGAGGATGGCCTCAAACTTATGATCCTCCTGCCTCTGCTTTGCCAGATTTTTCTGAAGGCTCCTGCAGTGGGTTGCCTACCCAGTCTGGAAGAGTCTCCAGGGCCACTCAACCTCAAGATGACCTGGAGATGACAGAAAGCAGCCTGGCAGGGACTGGGAAAGAAATGAGTCCAACAGGCCTGGTTAGTCTCAGTGAATGAGTAGCCTCAGGCTCTGGGGAAGGCAGGTCCTATTTGGCCTCCTGCGCCTTTCCTCCTGGCTGTGCCTGCCACCCCTGTGGCTCTGCCAGCAGGCCACAGGCTTCCCTTGCTTCTAGGCCTAGGCTTGCGCCCCTGGGGCTGTTTGCCCAAGGCTCTCCCTGGGCCTTCCCAGGAGCCCTCTCAGGCCAGAGTCACCTCAGTGAGCTTCTCAGTTTCTTAGGCCTGCTGGGACTCCTGGTTGCACTTGACCCAGGGCTGACTGGCTTCTTCCCTAGTTGTCCACAGGCAGTTGGACTTGACAGCTTTCTCTCCTTGGGGAAATGCTGGTAGCAGGTGAAACCAGAGAAGGACCCCTGGGAGAGAAGTGTGAGCGTGCAGAGGTCTGAGAGAGCACATGCCCCCTTGAGGGATATAACAGGTGGATGTTCTCCTGGCACCAGGGTGAATAATTGTACCCCCAGGCCCATGCTGTTCCCCGAAGGCAATTTGGGACCTGGGGAAGGATGCCCAATTGTGTCCAGGGGGCTCTAGAGCCAGGCCCTGGGGGGGTCTTAGCTCTAAACAGCCCTGGTAAAACCTGCCCTAAAAACACCCGCGTGTCCAGGCCACCCAGTCTCTGAAGTCATGGCCCAGGTACTACCTCTCCCAGGATACCTTTCCAGCT